AAAAGATTAGGTGATGAAAGATTGGATATCAGATTGGAGGGAGAGAGTATGGAGGAGGTGAATGTATTCAGATATTTGGGAGTGGATGTGTCAGTGGATGGGTCTATGAAAGATGAGGTGAATCATAGAATTGATGAGGGGAAAAGGGTGAGTGGTGCACTTAGGAGTCTGTGGAGACAAAGAACTTTGTCCTTGGAGGCAAAGAGGGGAATGTATGAGAGTATAGTTTTACTAAAGCTCTTATATGGGTGTGAAGCATGGGTGATGAATGTTGCAGCGAGGAGAAGGCTGGAGGCAGTGGAGATGTCATGTCTGAGGGCAATGTGTGGTGTGAATATAATGCAGAGAATTCGTAGTTTGGAAGTTAGTAGGAGGTGCGGGATTACCAAAACTGTTGTCCAGAGGGCTGAGGAAGGGTTGTTGAGGTGGTTCAGACATGTAGAGAGAATGGAGCAAAACAGAATGACTTAAAGAGTGTATCAGTCTGTAGTGAAAGGAAGGCGGGGTAGGGGTCGGCCTAGGAACGGTTGGAGGGAGGGGGTAAAGGAGGTTTTGTGCGCAAGGGGCTTGGACTTCCAGCAGGCATGCGTGAGCGTGTTTGATAGGAGTGAATGGAGACATATGGTTTTTAATACTCGACGTGCTGTTGGAGCGTGAGCAAAGTAACATTTATGAAGGGGTTCAGGGAAACTGGCAGGCCGGACTTGAGTCCTGGAGATGGGAAGTACAGTGGCTGCACTCTGAAGGAGGGGTGTTAATGTTGCAGTTTAAAAACTGTAGTGTAAAGCACCCTTCTGGCAAGACAGTGATGGAGTGAATGATGGTGAAAGTTTTTCTTTTTCGGGCCACCCTGCCTTGGTGGGAATCGGCCAGTGTGATAATAATAAAAATCCTCTTGATAACTCTGTCGAACTGCTCGGTGTTATGCCAAATATTATTCATTCTGGAGTATTTAACATGTTTTATGTTATTTATATTGTTTATTATGTCATATTAGATCAATTGTGATAGGCAAATAAGCTGTAGTGTTGATATTAGCATAATAATAAAGCATATTCTCCTGCTTCATGAGACTGAGCTCATGGCAACCGACAGTGGCTTCAAAGCACACTAACAGCACCTTTCAAGGCAGGTGAAATTGCCGACCTAGAAAATGTACAGAGAACTTTCATGGCGCGCATAACGGAGATAAAACACCTCAATTAATGGGAGCGCTTGAGGTTCCTAAACCTGTATTCCCTGGAACGCAGGAGGGAGAGATACATGATTATATACACTTGGAAAATCCTAGAGGGACTAGTACCGAACTTGCACACGAAAATCACTCGCTACGAAAGCAAAAGACTTGGCAGACGATGCACCATCCCCCCAATGAAAAGCAGGGGTGTCACTAGCACGTTAAGAGACCATACAATAAGTGTCAGGGGCCCGAGACTGTTCAACTGCCTCCCAGCACACATAAGGGGGATTACCAACAGACCCCTGGCAGTCTTCAAGCTGGCACTGGACAAGCACCTAAAGTCAGTTCCGGATCAGCCGGGCTGTGGCTCGTACGTTGGTTTGCGTGCAGCCAGCAGCAACAGCCTGGTTGATCAGGCTCTGATCCACCAGGAGGCCTGGTCACAGACCGGGCCGCGGGGGCGTTGACCCCCGGAACTCTCTCCAGGTAAACTCCAGGTTATGTTTAATGGATAATGTACTGTGTAGGTGCTTTACATAATGAGAAGCATTTCTTTTATTCACTGGAACTATGGCTAGGGCTAAAAGTAAGCAGGTTAAAACAATAAATGGAGAAAAAGAAATTGGAATGACTTATGCAGCAAGTAGCGCCACCAAACAGTACCAGCAGGTTGGTGTGGCGAACCTGGAAATTTGAAATTATGCTAGCCAAAATTAGTGCCGAATAACTGAAGGAACCGAATAACTGATTGCCGGATTTGTGATGGCGGACCTGTATTTATTATACGTAATTATTATTATATACTTATTGTTATTAGTACGTACGTATTACATGTATTGTAATTTTTTTTTTTAACACATCGGCCGATTCCCACCAAGGCAGGGTGGCCCGAAATAGAAAAAACTTTCATCATCATTCACTCCATCACTATCTTGCCAAACAGGTGCTTTACACTACAGTTATAAAACTGCAACATTAACACACCTCCTTCAGAGTGCAGACACTACTTCCCATCTCCAGGACTCAAGTCCAGCCTGCCTGTTTCCCTGAATCCCTTCATAAATGTTTCTTTGCTCACATTCCAACAGCATGTCAAGTGTTAAAAACCATTTGTCTCCACTCATTCCTATCAAATACGCTCACACATGCTTGCTGTAAGTCCAAGTCCCTCGCACACAAAACCTCCTTTACCCCCTCCCTCCAACCCTTCCTAGGCCGACCCCTACCCCGCCTTCTCTCCACTACAGATTTATACACTCTCGAAGTCATTCTGTTTTGTTCCATTCTTTCTACATGTCTGAACCACCTCAGTCCTCTGGATAATAGTTTTGGTAATCCCACACCTCCTAATTTCCAAACTATGAATTCTCTGCATTATATTCACACCACACAATGACCTCAGACATGACATCTCCACTGACTCCAGCCTCTTCCTCATTGCAACATTCACCACCCATGCTTCACACCCATACAAGAGTGTTGGTACAACTATACTCTCATACATTCCCTTCTTTGCTTCCATGGACAAAGTTCTTTGTCTTCACAGATTCCGAAGTGCACCACTCACCCTTTTCCCCTCATCAATTCTGTGATTCACCTCATCCTTCATAGACCCATCTGCTGACACGTCCACTCCTAAATATCTGAATACATTCACCTCCTCCATTCTCTCTACCTCCAATCTGATACCCAATCTTTCGCCACCTAATCTTTTTGTTATCCTCATCACCTTGCTCTTTCCTATATTCACTTAATTTTCTTCTTTTACATACCCTATCAAATTCATCCACCAACCTCTGCAACTTCTCTTCAGAATCTCCCAAAAGCAGTGTCATCAGCAAAGAGTAACCGAGACAACTCCCACTTTGTGTTTGATTCTTTATCTTTTAACTCCACACCTCTTGCCAAAACCCTCACATTCACTTCTCTTACAATCCCATTTATAAATATATTGAATAACCATGGTGACATCACACATCCTTGTCTAAGACCTACTTTTACTAGGAAATAATCTCCCTGTCTCCTACATACTCTAACCTGAGCCTCGCTATCCTCATAAAAACTCTTCACTGCTTTCAGTAACCTACCTCCTATACCATACACCTGCAATATCTGCCACATTGTTCCCCATCCACCCTGTCATATGCCTTTCCAGATCCATAAATGCCACAAAAACCTCTTTAGCCTCATCTAAATACTGTTCATCTATATGTTTCACTGTAAACACTTGGTCTACAGACCTCTATCTTTCCTAAAGCCTCCTTGTTCATCTGCTGTCCTACTCTCTGTCTTACTCTTAATTCTTGCAATAATTACTTTACCATACTCTTTACCAGGTATACTCAACAGACTTATTCATCTATAATTTTTGCACTCTTTTATCCCCTTTGCCTTTATACAAAGGAACTATGCATGCTCTCTGCCAATCCCTTGGTACCTTACCCTCTTCCATACATTTATTAAATAATAGCACCAACCACTCCAAAACTATATCTCCACCTGCTTTTAACATTTCTATCTTTATCCCATCAATCCCAGTTGCCTTACCCCTTTCATTCTACCCACTGCCTCACGAACTTCCCCCACACTCACAACTGGCTCTTCCTCACTCCAAGATGTTATTCCTCCTTGCCCTATACACGAAATCACAGCTTCCCTATATTCATCAGCATTTAACAGTTCTTCAAAATATTCCCTCCATCTTCCCGATACCTCTAACTCGCCATTTAATAACTCTCCTCTTCTATTTTTAACTGACAAATCCATTTGTTCCCTTGGCTTCCTCAACTTATTAATCTCACTTCAAAACTTTTTCTTCTTTTCAACAAAATTTGTTGATAACATCTCACCCACTCTCTCATTTGCTCTCTTTTTACATTGTTTCGCCACTCTCTTAACCTCTCTTTTTTTCTCTCCATATACTCTTCCCTCCTTGCATCACTTCTACTTTGTAAGAACGTCTCATATGCTAACTTTTTCTCCTTTACTACTCTCTTTACATAATCATTCCACCACTCGCTCTTCTTCCCTCCTGCACCCACTTTCATGTAACCACGAACTTCTGCTGAACACTCTAACACTACATTCTTAATCCTACCCCATTGTCTATACTTTCGCTAGCCCATCTATCCTCCAATAGTTGTTTATATCTTACCCTAACTGTCTCCTCTTAGTTTATACACTTTCACCTCTGTGTTTCTTGCTGCTTCTATGTTCCTTGTATCCCATCTACCTTTTACTCTCACTGTAGCTATAACTAGAAAGTGATCTGGTATCTGTGGCCTCTCTATAAACATGTACATTCTGAAGTCTACTCAAGTCTCTTATCTACCAATACATAGTCTAACAAACTACTGTCACTACGTCCTAAATCATATCTTGTATACTTAACCTCTTTTTCTTAAAATACGTATTATCTATAACTAAACCCTTTTCTATACAGAGTTCAATCAAAGGGCTCCCATTATCATTTACACCTGGCACCCCAAACTTACCTACCACAGCCTCTCTAAATGTTTCTCCTTCTTTAGCATTTAGGTCCCCTACCACAATTACTCTCACTTGGTTCAAAGGTTCCTATACATTCACTTAACATCTCCCAAAATCTCTCTGTCCTCTACACTTCTCTCTTCTCCAGGTGCATACACATCTATTATGACCCACTTTTCACATCCTACCCTTTATTTTAATCACATAATCCTTGAATTAAGACCATGGCATAGCACCAGACACTACAGTTCCCCACCATTTCTATTTACAATCTGTTGTCTAGAACCCTAATATTTTTTGAATCATTGTTACTTAATTCTCAATATTACAGATATCACCAAGGAGAGTGTACCAGCAGATTTCTTTGAGAAAGGTGCCATGTTTGCACACAACCGTGATAAGGATGGGTGCAAGATGCTGGTATTTGCTGTACGTCACCATCAGAAGGGTGTCCTTGACATGGATTTGCTCAAAAAGTTTTTTATATACTGGCTTGAAAGATTAGAAAGGTAAAGTTACTTTCAATGTTAGAACAACATTTAAGTGTTTTTTTTTTTCTTCTTCCTGTTTTGCAGATTTTCCTTAACCCGTAAACGGTCCAAGCAGATCTACGTTCACATGGGTAGTGCTACAAAAGTAGATCTACGTTCACATGGGTAGTGCTACAAAAGTAGATCTACGTTTTTTTTACATATTTTCAAATATAACAAAAAAAAAAAGTAGATCAAAGTTTTTTTACACATTTTCAAATGTAAAAAAACAAGATCTACTTTTTTTACATACTTTCAAATGTTGAAAAAACGTATATATACGTTTGGACCATTTACGGGTTAAAAATCAATCGAGAATTTAGTATATAATGGTTACAGTATTTACAGATGCTTCGTACCCATTTAAAAAGGAAACATTAGAAAAAAAAATACCTTATAGAATTTGTTGAGCATTTCTGTCAAAAGTACAGTACAGGAGGGCCCCACTTATACGGCAGGTTAGGTTCCAGGCTACCGCCGTAAAGCGGAAATCGCCGTAAAGTGGAACACCCTTTTTTTCCACTTATAAATGCATACAAACACTAGATAACAAGTTTACACTAACATATATTAAGTTAGCAATAGAACCAGGCATCAAAAAACAATAAAAAGGTACAATACACACATAGTGCACTCATTACTTACCTTAAAATATTTATAGTCTTAATCTAGGGTGAGACAAGCAGTATTTATTGTAAGAAATCAAGTGTGGTATGTATTGTAATAGCCAGGCTACCTTACCAGGCCACCCCACCCACACATACTATTCTATGATATTTAAGCATCCCAGAGCGATAAAATGTATATACAGTTCACTCATTACTTACCTTAAAATATTTGTAGTCTTAATGTAGGGTCAGGAGTAAGTAAATGAGATAAAACGAATAAATGAGAGAGAGAAAGAATGAGTACATGAGAGGTGACAGGCGCAGAGTAAACAAACCAGGCTCCCACATCTTATATTTATGTTTATTTATTCTATTGTGGGGTGTATTTATCATCTTTTTATGTTATGTATCGTGTTTATTATATAATTTTTAAAAAAATATCATGGATGGATTAACCCTTTGACTGTTTTCGACGTATAAATACGTCTTACGAGCCAATGTTTCTGACGTATATATACTCAATAATTCTAGCGGCTTCAAATCAAGTGGGAGAAAGCTGGTAGGCCCACATGTGAGAGAATGGGTCTGTGTGGTCAGTGTGCAAAACATAAAAAAAATCCTGCAGCACACATTGCGTAATGAGAAAAAAAAAACTCTGATCGTTTTTTTGGAAAAAAAACGCCGATTTTTAGGTTTTATTTTTCTATAGTATTTATCGTTGTTTCGCGTTTTCATGGGCTTTTTTATAAAATGGGAAAAAATATTACAGAAATAGAGTGATTTTTTATTACTTTACATGAAAACGACCTTGAAACGAGCTCAAAGTAGCGGAAAGTTCGATTTTTACCATGTTCAAGAGAAATAAATCACACCACACGTCCCCAAAACCTAACTGGGGAGTCTAATATTTTTTCATATGCACTGATATTATTTATACCCTTTTTACAATAATGCAGTCTCTGATAAAAGAAATTTTTATTTTTTTGTAGAATAAAAAAACAAAAATAGAAAGCAATAATAAAATAAGGGGCCTAGAGATGGACTAATTTAACAGGCATATGTTATTTTAGTGCCACGAATGTCTACCTTGTTTATTCTGGACCCTATTTTGAAATTGGCATCTTTTTATTTTGCGTGAAATTGGCCAAATTGCCAATTTCTGACCACCATATTGGGTAGTCCAAATTAGTAATGGGAGGTTTCTTGTGCTCAGCTGATAGATAAAATGGAGTTCTAAAGAAATAGCTATGAGTTTGGTCAACTGGAACAATGGAATTGGCTGAAAATTGGGCTCAAAGTCGGCGAAATCGCCGATACGCACATGTCGCCGAGACCGCTAACTTCGCGGGAGCATAATTCCACGAGTTTTCGACCAAATTTCGAACTTTTGGTGTCATTACCATCGGGAAAAGATTCTCTATCATTTCATAAGAAAAAATAATTTTTTTTTTTCAAAAATTGAGCGACATAGAATGACAGTTTCAGAGAGGGGCCTGAAACAGTCAAAGGGTTAATGAAAATGTGTATATTACCGTAATATACGACATTTAATGAGACTCGGTGAGTATTGTTATTATGGCGTCACTTGTGCAAGTCGTCTGCTACCACATCTCACATTTATGTTTATTTATTCTACTGTGGGGTGTATTTATCTTATTTATATGTTATGCATAGTGTTTATTATATAATTTTGAAAAAAATATCATGGATGGATTAATGAAAATGTGTATATTACCGTAATATACGACATTTAATGAGACTCGGCGAGTATTGTTATTATCACCACTTGTGCAAGTCGTCTGCTATCACATCTCACATTTATGTTTATTTATTCTATGTGGGTGTATTTATCTTATTTATATGTTATGCATCGTGTTTATTATATAATTTTTGAAAAAAATATCATGGATGGATTAATGAAAATGTGTATATTACCGTAATATTACGACATTTAATGAGACTCGGCGAGTATTGTTATTATCACCACTTGTGCAAGTCGTCTGCTACCACATCTCACATTTATGTTTATTTATTCTACTGTGGGGTGTATTTATCTTATTTATATGTTATGCATCGTGTTTATTATATAATTTTGAAAAAAATATATTGGATGGATTAATGAAAATGTGTATATTACCGTAATATACGAATTTAATGAGACTCGGCGAGTATTGTTATTATCACCATTGTGAAAATCGTCTGCTCCCACATCTCACTTTTATGTTTATTTATTCTACTGGGGGGTGTATTTATCTTATTATATGTTATGCATCGTGTTTATTATAAAATTTTTGAAAAAAAATATCATGGATGGATTAAAATGAAAATGTGTATATTACCGTAATTACGACATTTAATGAGACTGGGGTGAGTATTGTTATTATTATCATTTCTAATATGGCGTCACTTGTGCAAGTCGTCTGCTCCCCAAAATCTCACGTTTAGTTTATTTATTCTACTTGTGGGGTGTATTTATCTTATTTATATGTTATGCATCGTGTTTATTATATAATTTTGAAAAAATTTTCATGGATGGATTAATGAAAATGTGTATATTAACGTAATATACGACATTTAAATGACTCGATGTATGTAAGTTTATTTAGGTACAGGTATACATAAGTATAATTATCAGAGTATATATAAAATATGAAATAACTTTTAAAAACATTTGAAATTTTGGAGTTTCCAGACAAAATGGAGAGACTTAGTGCTTACTGAGCTCATGGAGAATGTAAACAAACAGGGTGGGGCACGGTGACTGTATTAGAAAGTCAGGTGGGGGGAGCCGTATAGCGAGTTTTGGTCATAATTTGAAATGTCCGTATTAGCGGAACGCCGTAAAGTGAAACGCCGTAAAGCGGGGCCTTCCTGTATTAGTCTCTGAGTGTATGTAATGATCATTCTGATGAATCAAACAGTAACTGTAATTACTACACAGCAGAACAATCAAAGGCACTTCTCAGAGCCAACAACATAACTGTCTTTAACTGCAATATCAGATCTTTAAGTAAACATTACGATGACCTCATAGCATTACTAAATTCCCTGCATGCCAGTATATCCATAATTACTCACTGAAACCTGGCTAAAGCCTGATACTACAGATGTCTATGCCATTCCTGGTTACACAGCCATACACAACTGTAGGCCAGATCAACAAGGGGGTGGCACAGCTATATACTACTCAGACCAACTAGAATGTATCACTAATACTTGCACAAGGGATGAGCATGGGGAATATATAATAGCTAAATTCAAATCCAAATACCTACAAAAACCTCTCAGTGATAAACATCTACAGAGTACCACAGTCAAACATTAGCCGTTTTAGTGAAAACCTAGGAAGTATGATAACTGATGCATGCATGAACAAAGATCACTTATTACTCTTAGGTGATTTCAGTACAAATCTCCTGCAAGACCAGGACCCACACGTTACTGAATTCACAAACACTATCAGTAACTGCATGTTGCTACCAACAGTAACAAAACCTACAAGAGTTACAGGGTAAGTGTTTCCCTACTAGACCACATCTGGACCAACACCATATCCCCTTTATAATCAAGCATAATCACAGATAATACCACAGACCATTACCCTACCTTCCTCATAACAATCTTTGGGAAATTACCCCAAGCACTACTAAAACATCACCCACGCTTCAACCCATATAAGAGCGTTGGTAAAACTATACTCTCATACATTTCCCCTTCTTTGCCTCCAAGGACAAAGTTTCTTTGTTTCCACAGAACTCCTAAGTGCACCACTCACTCTTTCTCCCTACCCTCATCAATTCTATGATTCACCTCATCTTTCATGACCCATACCGCTGACACGTCCACTCCCGAAATATCTGATACGTTCACCTCCTGCATACTCTCCATCCCTCCCAATCTGATATTCAATCTCTTCATCACCTAATCTTTTGTTATCCTCATAACCTTACTCTTTCCTGTATTCACCTTTAATTTTCTTCATTTTTGCACACCCTACCAAATCCATCCACCAATCCTGCCACTTCCTCTTCAGAACCTCCCAAGAGCACAGTGTCATCAGCAAGAGCAGATTTTTGGCTGTGACAACTCCCCACTTTGTGTGGTGATTCTTTATCTTTTAACTCCACGCCTCTTGTTGCCAAAACCCTCGCATTTACTTCTCTTACAACCCCATCTATAAATATATTAAACAAACCACGGTGACATCACACAAATCCTTGTCTAAGGCCTACTTTACTGGGGAAAAAATTTCCCTCTTTCCTACATACTCTAACTTGAGCCTCACTATCCTCGTAAAAACTCTTCAACTGCTTTCAGTAACCTACCTCCTACACCATACACTTGCAACATCTTGCCACATTTCCCCCTATC